CGATCTCGGCTCACTGCAACCTCCACTTCCTGAGTTCAAGCAATTCTCCTGTCTCAGCCTCCCCAGCAGCTGGAATTACAGGTGTGTATCACCACACCTGGCTAATTTTTGTATTTTCATTTTTATAATTTATTTTATTTTTTGAGACAGAATCTCACTCTGTCACTCAGGCTGGAGTGCAGTGCACGGTGGCATGATCTTGGCTCAGTGCAACCTCTGCCTCCTGGGTTCAAGTGATTCTCCTGCCTCAGCCTCCCGAGTAGCTGGGACTATGGGCATGTACCACCACATCCTGCTATTTTTTGCATTTTTAGTAGAGATGGGGTTTCATCATGTTGGCCAGGCTGGCCTCGAACCCCTGATCTCAGATGACCCACCCACCTTAGCCTCCCAAAATGCTGGGATTACAGATGTAAGCCACTGTGCCTGGCCCGGCTGAATAATCTTAACTGACCTATTTTCTTTGTTTTTTTTGAGACGGAGTCTCACTCTGTCACCCAGGCTGGAGTGCAGCGGTGCGATCTTTGCTGTCTTCGACCTCCGCCTCCTGGGTTTAAACACTTCTCCTGCTTTAGTCTTCTGAGTGTTGGGATCACAGGCATGCGCCGCCACACCTGGACAAGTTTTGTACTTTTAGTAGAGACAGGGTTTCACCATGTTGGCCAGGCTTGTCTCGAAGTCCTGACCTCAGGCGAGCTGCCTGCCTCAGCCTCCCAAAGTGCTGGGATCACAGGCGTGAGCCACCGCGCCCGACCTGTTTTGTTTTGTTTTAAACTGTGTGTTTAGAATATTATAATGTGGCCACTCTGGAAATAGGAGTCTCCCTCCTCCCTGGGGTGTGTTCTTGCTGTTTGGTTCAGTGGTTACTTAATGACTTTTCTGATTGTGAAGTCTCTATCTTTTGTCATGAGTGGCCATTTCCTCCTGTTCTTTTAGCCTGGTGGTCAGCTAGTGAAAGGACAGAGATTTCTTTAAGCATCTGGAACCCAAAAAAACAAAAAACAAACCCACAACACCCTCCCGAGTCTGTAGAAGGGGTCTGCGTGGCTGTGGGGTCAGCCCTTCCACGGTGAAACAGGTTTTCTCTGCCTTCACTTTCACTTCCTGCTTGTGCAGAGCTAGAAGTCCAGCCCGATGAGAGCGTAGGGCCCTCGCAGGCCTCTTCCCAGCCCCTGCACCGCTCTGGTCTTGTAGGTTCCAAGCCTTCATTCCCCAGAGTGTTTTATTCCCTGGCCTTTCCTCCTACGCTGTTTGGCTC